CATCATCATCACCATCATCATCACCATCATCATCACCATCATCATCACCATCATCATCACCATCATCATCACCATCATCATCACCATCATCATCACCATCATCATCACCATCATCATCACCACCTGATATATTAGTCACAATAGCGCAACTCTCTTGTTGAAATACGTCTGGAACGTCAAACGATTTAGCCGATGTTAATTTTTGGCGGGAAAACAACGATGACGACGATGATGACGGTGACGTCAGCTGATTGTTGTCGTATTGAATGATGACCCTTTGAAATGTGACCCTGACCTTTTGAAAATTATGCAAACAATGGTGTTAATAGTAATAATAATAATAATAATTATATATTATCATTATTATTATTTCATTCTTTTTCATCATTATCATCTCCACCACCATCATCATCACCATCATCGTCATTATCCCCACCACCATCACCATCATCATCATCATCCCCATCACCATCATCATGACAAACCTTTTTATCATATTCAATTCTTTGGATAACGTCATTGTAGTTTGTGAAATCGACCGGTGTCCCGTCAACAGATACAATATGGTCGCCTGAATGAGAGAAAATATTATTATTATTATTAATTATGGATAATTATGAATGGTTATAATTAAATTATGAACAGGAAATATTATTATTATTATTATTAATTATGGATAATTATAAATAGTTATAAATATTTATCGCTGACCGTGTGCTTGTTTAAGTAATTTAGTACATTGTAGGCTACGAAACTACAACAAAAAACAACAACATCATCATCGTCACGACCTCAGCATCGTCATCATCGTCATTACAACATCATCATCATCGACATCCCATCAACATCATCATCATTATCAAAACCTACCAACAAAAACACCGCCCTTATCAGCTGGACCCCTCGGAATTAAACCCTGGACAAAAATTTTCCTAATTCGATTTGGATCCGATTTATCGTCGGCATATTCCACATATTTGCCTGGAACCAAGCCTATAATTAATTATAATAAATTAATAATTATAACGATAATTACAGAAAAAATAATAATAATAATAATAAAAATAATAATAATGATCGGAATGTTAACGGTCGACCTAATGATCTTTCAGAATTAGTGAGGCATCCTCCAAATCTGTCAAACAGCTTAGGGTTCAAGACCAAAGTTTCAGTAAATGGATCGCCAAGATATTTAATCAAATGACCCTCCCCAATCTCAAATTGGTCTTCCATATTTGGTCTTTTTGTTCTTTGTTTTTTTCTAATTTTCTTTGGCTCAATTTTTGCGTCTATTTCTTCTTCTTCCTCTTCGTAATCATCGTAGATGTCAAAATCGTCATCATCTGTCGGATTTTTTTGAGCGGAAGTGATAGATTTAGAATCTTTCTTATCGTCCTTTTCCTGTTTATTATTATTTTCTTCATCCTTTTTGACTTCCTCGACTTTTTCACTCAACTTTGGTTTGTCATCATCTTTGCCGAAAAGTCCAGAGAAGAATCCACCGGATTTTTTTTCGGGAGTTTTTATTTTGGGGTTTTCAATTGGTTTCTTTTCCTCCTCTGGTGAAGGGTCCGGGTTGAAAAATTTGTTCACTCCTGAGAAAAAACCACCTCCTGATTTTTTCTTTTCATCTTTCTTCTCATCTGCAACTTTTTTCGGGTCTTTATCTGTTGGTTTATCTCTTAAAATATCATCTTTGTTGTTGGTTGGTTCGGATTTTTTGTCTTCTTCTGCATTGAGGTTGGCGGAATTTTTCGGTGGAACTTTCGGTGAAGTTTCGTTCGCTATAGACGTGTGAGGTGATTCTTTTTCATCGGGTGACGTCGGTTGGTCAGTTTTTTCCGCTTCATTCGTTGACGTGCTAGGTTGTTGTTGTTGGTCATCGTTATTATTTTGCGGTTGTTGCGGTTGTTGTTGCGGTTGTTGTTGTGGTGGTAGTTGTGGTGATTCTGTGGACGTAAAAGGCTGCTTGGGTGGTTGGGCATTTTGTTGATCAGTGTTTGGATCATTTTCCTTTGGTGTTGTGGTTTTGTTTTGGTCACTTTCCGTTGGTTTGTTGGTTTCTGATTTGCTGGCATCTTCATCTTTAGTTTTGTCCTTTTTAAACAAATTTGAGAAGAAACCCCCTTTCTTTTCTTTCTTTCCTTCCTCAGTATTTTTACTAGCATCTTCAGTTTTACTTTTTTTATTATCTGCCTTTGATTTTTTGTCATCTTTCGCCTTTTGGTCACTAGCACCTTTATTTTTAGTATCTTGTTCAGTTGGGGGAGAGGTCGATTTGGGAGGAGCCTGTGGTTTTTGGGGAGCTCGCTGAGGGGGTGACTGTGGTTGAGAGGGTGGTTGGGGTGGCGGTTCTACTTTTGGCTTGGAGGCTTCAGCTGACTGGAGTGTAAATTTATATTTTTATATAGTTTCAGTTATTTGTCATTTATGCTTTAAGTTTAACTTTAAAGAGTAAGTGAGTTAGGCTTTTTGTTATGTTATTTTATTAATTTACTAACTAATATTATTAATAAGTTTTAATTTTTTTAATAAAAATAAATATAATTAATAAAAAAATGAAATGAATAGATCTAAATATGTATGTATGTATGTATGAGTATGTATGTATGTATGTATGTATGTATGTATGTATGTATGTATGTATGTATGTATGCATGTATGTGTGTGTGTGTGTGTGTGTGTATGTATGTATGTATGTATGTATGTATGTATGTATGTATGTATGTATGTATGTATGTATGTATGTATGCATGTATGTGTGTGTGTGTGTGTGTGTGTATGTATGTATGTATGTATGTATGTATGTATGTATGTATGTATGTATGTATGTATGTATGCAACTGAAACACATATATAAAGCAATGAGAACTAGAGATCAAACTTAGTTTAAAAGTTTAACAAGTAAATTTCTCCTTGAAGACAAATTATTTAAATTTATTTAACTTTAAAAAATGACGCCACTCTAAATATATTTATGTATAACTATTGAATTAAATTATTTTAACATCACTTCTGTTTATTATTATTATTATTACTATCATTATTATTATTGTTGTTGTTGTTTATGTTGTTGTTGTTGTTTTATTTATTCGCTATGACGTCACTGATGACGATGTCGTTGATGAATTAATTTGATTGGTGGTGAAGTTTTTATAATAACAATAATAATAAAAATAATAATAATAATAACACTAACAACACTAATATTAACAATAATAACAGTAATATTAATGATTGATGTATAATGCAGATAAAAATAATAGCATTAATAAATTAAACTAAAAATAACCAATGGAGCTAAAAATAATTTCTGGTTCTGACGTGGTTTTGTTTACTTTCGTCATCATCATTACTACTACCGACTTGTCGCGCTGATGCTGATGATGACGTCATGATGTAAACGATGACGATGATGGAGGAAGGTGTTAAAGTGAATGGAGATTATAACTTACTACCTCAAGTCAAAATGACGTCATTATCAACAACAGCAAC